CCCCCCCCCCCCCCCCCTTTTATAACAACTTATTCTTATAAGTTGCTCTTATTCTAATGAGACGCTTTTATGGTGTCGTCTATTTGTAATGGGTAGTGGGTAGTGGGGAGTGGGGAGGGATCCACACCAGACCAATTCGTGCCCCTCCCCATTGGGCAGGTCTGTGCCCAGTAAAGTACCGAGTGGTGCGAAATGCAGAGCGGGAAAGGAAAAAGAAAACAAAAAGGAAGAGAACGTGCACCGTCCCCGCAATCTGAACGCATGGAATTGCTAAAGAACTAGCCGAGTCTGAAATCTAACTCAGGTTCTGATTTTGAAAATGGGTTAATACACAAATAGAAGCAATCTCACAAAACAAAAGCTCTCGAAGTCTTTAAAACAATAATCGATACTTTCTCAACTAAGGATGTGACCTTTAGCCCACAGTTAATTAACAAGGCAGCCTGCGTCAGCTGCTGCGTCCTGGAAAATTAGAAATTAGTTAAGGACCTACAGTCTATATTCTCAGATAATGCCAAGTATACGGTATAAAATCTTATCATGTTCTTATAAGTGGGTTTTTGCTTCAGATTAGGACCCCTTACTTAAACAAACTTGCATTTCCCATGTGCTTCTGTCGTAGCGTTTTCACAGAACAGTTTAAGTTCGATTTTGCCGTGATTTTCCCTCACGAGCCTCACAAACCAAACAGTAACAAATACACATGAAAAAAAACCGATATTTTGCCTTTTTAAAGACGACAAATCTTAATTGCACAATATACACCGAACGCGCACACATATACGCAGCGAAACTTTCATCGCAGAAAACAAATTAAACGGTCCGTGAAAACGCAGTGACAATGGCTCAAATGTGACAATTTCAAACTATACCTGATGGCGATGCCGTCCCCTTATGATCAAAGATGTCAGCCGAGTAGCACATTTGTGCGTTCATATACCATGATTAAACCGTGAACAAAACACAACAGTAGCCTGGAGCTAGATACAACGTCATAAATTTGTAAGTACGCCGTAAGTTTACAAACATCACTTGAATCATTGCAAAGTTGGCTGGCAGACAGATAATGTACTTCTAATTTCAGAGTCAGTCGTCTTGTTGACAGTCCTTTCATATGGTGTAATCTGTTTATTTGTTTTCATGTATTTTTTAGGAGCTTTTCTTCAATTCTGTGATAGGCAGCTCTCTTTAGCCCTAATTAAAAGTTACCTGCGAATACAACTGTCTGTCATCGTTTCGGCCGCCAGGGGCGTTTGCACGGAGAAACCGTGCGCAACCTTTACCGTGCGCCTAGCGTCCGAAGCGATCAGAGACGGTTGTATTCGCAGGCAACCTTTAGATTACAGGCATCCCCGTTGGATCCACAACTATCTTGATAAAAATCGAATCATCACGGATGTAGCCTCTGGATCGCAACAGATGATGTGTACAGAACGTTGGGCAGCCCGAAGCAATGTTCATATCTGAACGTGGTTTTTGAAAACTCGAGCTGTTCGGGTCCGGTCGGAAGGACTCGGTAACATCCGAGACTCGATCTTGATCCAGCAGCTTCATTGTGATCTTTTGGCGAAAAGGCCAACTCAATAAGCCATCGTATTCCCCTCGCATTACTACGATAAACAACGACAAATATTTCCCTTTTCCCATTGGCCCATCACCATTGAGATATGCCCGTACACAAAGCTTATATCCATAGCGGGCAGTGTAAAATGGAGGACTGTAGATGGATATTGTTTTCCCATCAACTGCTTCACGAAATCTACGTTGAAATTCATCGATTTTCCACAAAAAGATCCCATCATACGAGGTGGTCTCCATAATCTGTAGTTTAAGGTCTTGGTCTGCCAGTTGGATTTCGTGCAGAGCTAAAGAATGTTCTACACGATCGAACCGATGATCACTTCCACCAGAACTTGCTGAAGCCGCGTAGCGCGGACGCGCCGGTGCCTGGTTAAGCCGCCTAACGTCTTCCCCTAATACGGCTAACCTTTCATCTTGAAAATCTAAACGGCGTATTATGTCAACCACGTTCAGACCCGCTGTAGTATTTTCTCTGGAGTTCAACTCGGTCGTTAGTTGTTGACGAATCTCGTCTATACTCGTACGCTGTGCAGAAAGATTTTCCTCCACTTTCGTTAGCTTCATCTGATGCGTGGACAGCGTTTGCCTGTTGAGTGCTAAAGCCTCGTTTTGTAATGCCAGCCTTTCCTCGTAAGTTCGATTCATTGCCTGAGAAGCATCCAACTGAACTTTTAACTTTCTAAACTCATCGGTGAGTTTTTCGACGAATTTGGTAGATAATATTAGGTGCTCAGTGGTAGAAGAACTAAGATGTTCGTCTAAGGAATCCCTTGGACCTTCAAAATCACAGCCCATAGATTTAAACCTACACTGCGTTGGCGCGCGCGGGCATGATATTGAGTGCTCTGGAATACTTTCCCGGAGAATTTCACTCTCACCACAACCATAAGGACATTTAACTGGAAACTTTCCGCACTCTTCTAAATGCTCCCTCGTTTTAACCCCAGGATAACCAACATGGCAATAAGGACATTCCGTGACCTTATACACACAGTCATTTTCTATGTGTTTAGCTAATAGGTGTCTTAAGACAACTACATTGCAACCAAGGTTACTATATGGACACTTCACTTTTGTATAAGGACATTCGGCATCGTGATCCTGAAGATAAGCTAGTAATCCGGTCCATAGACAGCCAAGTGATTTATTAGGACAATAGCATTCCAGAGCAAGTATCTCTTTCTGTGCACACTTGTCCCTAAAAACTTCTTCTCTTTTAAGAACCTCTCCATCATCTGGGCATTTAGCTTCACCTGCCGGTTTCTGTTTGAAAATATCATCCAAGCATGACATACAAAACCTGTAAGTCAAGAGTCACAGGTAAGCATATGCATATGTATTCCTCAGGGCTCAATCAAACTGATTGCTAACAAAGAGTTAGGCAGTTAACTGGCAAATTAGTATAGGTAAAAATGCCCTAAAATTTAGCTTACAACTTTTGCCTACTTTCCTATTTTTTAAAAAAATAGGAAACAAAGCCTCGTGAGATACATGAACTTTCCTACCCAGAGGTAAGATTACTGGAATCCCAAATCTTCATAGAGGGTAAGACCGTTTACCTACAGCCACCAGAGTATTTAACACTATTGTCTTTTTCAATTCAAGGCTTTTTAGTTTAAGCCTCTCTGGCAATAATAAATTTGAACTGAGGAACCTAACAATGAAAAAAATTCTGGCAGTTCTAGTCAAATTATATCATCATGACATAAATAGCACTATTATTATATTCCCTGTTGATCTTCCCAGAAATCTGAAATGAGTTAGATTCCTCCTCTAGGAACACAATAGTGAAGGAGGAAAAACTTTCACTAATGGCAAACATTATAAATGATGCAAACTTAGAAAGGGAAAAAGAGAAACAAGGTAAGAAATAAATGAGGCCCAGTCACAATAAAATTCCAAAAAGGGACATTGCAATGTCAACATTAAATGACATGAAGAGGGGTTGAATACCGACAGGGACATGGCCTAATACTCAATAAGCGAAGCAAAAATCAGACTAGGGACATATGTCTCCCCCTGAGAGGGCCTCATAAATGACCTTGCAATCTACAAATTGTTGGGTTTTATTTGCAGGTTCAGGGGGGGAGGGTGCAACTACAGGCTTATGGCAAGAGTTTGAGTTTAATAATACCTTTACTCACATCTGCAAATTAAAACTTGCATAAACGATCTCTGAACATTATAAACAAGAGAGCTTATTGCACTCCGCAAGTTTGCAAATTTATTTGATTTATGTCCTGATCATGCGCATTGTGTCAAAAACCAAAGATCAATGGCTTTTGAGAAGGAACAAGAACATGGTGGTCAAAGACGGTACAGTTTCTCACTGCTATATTTTGGTACACAGGAAAAAATAACGGATTCCCATTTTTGGATATTTTAGGGTATAATTTAAAGAATACCCATAAAAATCCCAAGTTTGGCAAAGTGAGACAAGTCCCAACGAGGGAATTCCCAACCAAGTTCCCTGATTGGGACTTGTCTCACTCTTCCAAATTTGGGATTTTGGTGGGTATTCTTTAAATACCCTAAAATATATAAAAATGGGAATCTGTTATTTTTTCCTGTGGTAATTTGCAAATTTATTGATTTAATGTTGCTTTTCAGACATAGTGAGTGGTTTGCTCTTTCTTTTAAACAATTTTCCTCCACAGAGTTTAGAATGTGCAACATATGGCTGATAAGAAACACCGAAGAGTTGAGCTATTGAGTAGTGTTTTGCTGCAAACCTAAGGAATGTTGAGGTCACTTCAAGGTACAGAGCTTTCAGAAATAGTTGCAATTTGTTTATTAGGACCATTTTAAGTTTTAACTTTGAATTCAATGCGTTGACTGATCGTAATAAACAAAGTCAAATGTTACCTTGTGAAGTGTGAATCTGTTTTTTCAGGTATGTACACTCATATTTATAAAGCTCTCTTAATTAGACGTTGCTTCTAATAAATTTGACACTTTCTCTAGTAATTTTTATCAGCATCATAACTTCTCTAATCTTTCGATATCCTCGCGCAGCAAAATGATGTCAACCTATAAACTCGATCAATAGTCCAGCACGTGGGTGTCTGTTTAAGAATTTACACAGTTGCAGTAACTGTCGCTTTTGTTTGGCAATTTCACTACCTAAGGACAAAGACGATAAGCAAAAAAAGCAAAGAGGTGTGGTACCTTATTACATGAAATTTTCACGACACTTAAATTTTGTGAATTTTGCGATACAAAAAAAATCGCGAGATTAAAGTGACGCGAACAATAAGTGTTGCAAACATAACATGCCGTAAAAATTAAGTGACTCACATTATGTCTATAATTAAGAAAGAACAAGTTTATTACCACTGAAATGCTTACAAAATCACAATTTTAATTTTCTGAGGAATTTTCAGTGTTAATGGATGTTGTGGTCAATTGACTTCAGAACAATAATTCATGTAAAAGCATGAACTGCTTGTGGACATCTTGAGAACTGCTTTGTTGTTACTGTTGACATTTAGTCCCGCTGTTGCATTTTTCTTAATTTTGATGTTATATATATTTAATTCAAGGACATGTTAAATAATATTGCCTTCGAAATGTTAATTGTTGTACTCAAAAACGAGAAATTTAGATTCAAAATATAAAATTTTCGCAAAATTGCGAAATTTAAGTGTCAACAAAATCGCGAAATAAACATGTCACAAAAATTTCATGTAATAAGGTGTTATTTTTTCAATATTATTGAATAACCTGTCCAACTTCTTGCGTTTAAAATATTTATTACAGGAAAAATAGTGCAATTGTCCACTGACCACCACCCAAGGTGACCACTTTGCAACTTGTGAGAACATCGTTTCTCTGTCCCAGACCTTGTCTCTTTCCCAACTCCCCCACCCCCACTTCAGGGCGGAAAAACGTTCTGCGCAAGCTTCTGCACATCTCTTATCGCAGGCTCAAGGCGGGCTTTTCTGTGACTGTGTTTGTATGTTGCTGGAGCTCTGAGTGAAGTGCACGAGGTGCGAACGTTTGCTCCCTGTAAAGCATTTTTATTTGACATGTTTGCTTTTTTTTCGTTGCTTGAAAATTACTTTCAATTCAGAACAACCGATGTTAAAGGAAAAACGGACCATTCCGTCAGTCTGAGGTGGAATAAAAGGTTTTGAACATTTTTAAAGAGGCGAGTATTTTTTTTGATTGTACATCCGATTAATTTATGAGTTGATTTCGCTGGGTTGAATTAAAACCCGCTTGTATTCTGTTATTAGTAGTTACAATTACTTTTTTTACACGCCCAGTTTTATTACCTTTGCAAAACCAGCTTTATCTTTGTCTTCAGTCAAAGACTCATTTTCTTGTTATAACGCATCAGAGTGAACAAACTGGTGCGCTTATTAAACTTCCTCGGAAATAGAAGGCCAGCAAGCTTACTCGGGATCATTTTTCTGTTGCTCAAGTAATAGCAGTCAGAGTTTTTTCATTTTTTATTACATAGTTTAGTTTTCCAGTGCACTGTGAAAGTTTCTTTTCTTTATAAGAATAACTTGCTGTACGCAAATTGTCCTTTTCACTCGCTGTGAAGTAGAGAACAACAACTACGGGCAGTGACTTCAAAACAATTGACTCTTTTCCCGTAAACAATTGCTGCAGCTGGATTTGACCGAGGCGAGCAAAACAAACCCTTATGTGCAATTTTCTGTATTTTCTAATAATCGGCTTAGTTTAATTTGGTTAAACAAAGACCTCGCATGGACCAGTTAAGCTTAAAATAGCTAAATGGTGAATCATGGCTTAGCTGCCAAGTTCTGCAAGTTGCATCTTTTGCTTTTAAGATCTTCAGGTAAGTTGTTTTCGTACAGAAAATTCATTTCTTCATTGTCAGCAAGAAGTTTTTGAAATAATATAACTTTAACTTTGTTTGAAGGAAATCCTACTTACCCGTAGGTTTTTGACAGATGTTATGCGTGTTCAACTTGACAACACAAAGCAAAATTTATATATCTGTGCGACACGAGCAAGTTTAAAAAACTATAGTTGCTTTGAAACCGATTTTTGGGAAGATTTTACCAGATAAAGATTGACCTTTTTTCTGACCACATATCAACACAATAACTTCTACATTGAGGATTTTGTTTATTTTTTAGTGATCTGCGAAACTACGAGTGTCCGATCGAGCGAGGGTTTTAAAATATCAGCTCGAGTGCGACAAAGTTCAGTGACTTCAAACACATTGTGGGCAAGCGTTAATTTTCTTGGGCAAATCACTGTCCAAAGATATGTTGTTTTTGTGTCCACAGTGGAGCTCCGGACCTTATATATCCAGGAACTTCCTTATATGAACACATTTTGTGAATGCATCTTGAAAAAAATCAGACCTACGCATGCACATTTCCAGTACAACGCAAGGAAATTAATGTCGTTAAAGTCCGTTTTACTGTGAGGTATTCTTTGAAAAAATTAAGTAACGATAAGGTTATAACCACAACTTGCAACTTTTGAAGGCAAATTGGCTGTTCTTTCCAGGTTATAAGTGGAAACATTTTAATTTTTAGGCACTAAAATATTTGAAATCCCGCCATTTTTTCAAACCCGACCAGGGGATCTGGGCAAAAAAGTTCACGCATGCTCATTACGTTTTTCCGCCCTGAACACCCCCACTGTCCCTTGAGATTAGGGCTTGTTTCCCAATTATGGCTGTCATGACGTCACTTGTATTTCACAACTGGTAGACGTGGTAGTCTTAACATATCTACACACGTAGTGGACACATGTTTGCCCTTTGTTAGGCAATGATCAAATGGGTGACAAACACATTACAGCCACGAAATATCTTTTTTTAGCAATGATTTCTGCAATCACGTCTGTGTTACCGTCTTCTACTTTTTCTCCCAATTTTTGGTAAGCTTAATTGCTTCATTAGTTGTGCCGTCTTGGTCACCAATCGACGACCTCTACCACTGATTCAGAAATATATATCTTCAAACTCAACGTCACCGAAAAGGAAATCGAAAGTCAGATCGAATACTGGTAAGCTTATTTTAATCAACGCAATGCGCGAACGAAAGAGTAAAACCCAATAACACGCAAAATAAGCTTACCTTTTTTGTCTTTCAGGCAAATTAACAAAGAATTCTGAGAATTGGATTTTAGCGTCAAAGTTTTACAGCGTATTAAGGAAATCTGTTATTCGTGAAGTTTATTGATCGACATGAAGGGAGTATGGCGTAGAAATTGCCGTTAACAAAAGCGATTTTTGCACAAAGCCGGCAAGGAGCGAAATACTTTCTTGTTTTCAACTGGAGTAAAAAACATTCCAGTCCAAAAATCAGTTGATGCAAAGAATTTTCTAGAACTTCCTGTTTACCATAGTACCATAGAACTATTACAACTTAAGCTTACCTATGACCACAGTTGGATTGGACTGGATCTTGTAGAACATTGCGGCATTGTATACATTTGTACCTCTTTTCCAGTCCTCCTGATACAAATTCGATCCCTTTACTCGAATAAGACATTTACCTGATCGTAACTTACGTTCACAAGTTATCAAAGGTGTGCCTGACTTGCGTAGAAAACGAAACTTCTGCTATTTCGAGATGAAACGTATGGGGAATCCCCGAATTCCTAACCTGCTTCTGCTTAGCAAGCGTTTCAGTGCAAAATGTCGTGCCGTTTCGGAGCATCTCGTTCCCAGAGTCACTCGGCTTATTCCAGAGTCCGCGTTGCTTTGTCCAGCGGAACGGCAACGGTCCAGAGAGCTATTTCATATATGATTCCTATAGTGTACCGCTATATAGATTCTTATAGTGTACCGGTCTTATAGTGAGGCTAAGACAGTCAAGCAATCCAAGACACACAGGTAAGACAAGTACCTCGATACACTATAAGATTCTATATCTCGGTACACTATAGGAATGAAGTACCTGCATTATGGTGCCAATCCCAGGCGCTGACCAAAAGGATCGCGGCCTCTGGGAACGAGATTGCTTAAAATTTGTAACCGACCCTCGTTTCTGGGAACGTAGCCTGGGAACGAATCGGGGGAAAAAGTAAAAAAACGGGGAGCGCCTACTGTATGTATGGAAAACCTGGAAATTCCGGGGAGAATTCAAATGGAATGGTTCATCCCGGTGGAAATTTTCAGGGAAAAAAGTAACACCTTTCGAGGTACATGTATTACCTTTTTCACGTTTTTACCGAAACGACCGAAATTTTCTGCACCATTTGTTTGGATCACCAGTGCCGGGCTTCAAGTCGAGAGAAAGCGAAAAATTTACTGGTATTTTGTACATGGTACAACTCAATCCCGTTCCTGTTTTCGGTGCCGAAAAAAATACCAGTACCATTTGACGGAAAATTTTCACCGAAAGGTAAGCGCTAGGATAGGAAAAAAAGCTAATCCCCCTCCCCAGGCTACCTCTCGGCCCGCTTCGATCGCCACTTTTTTTTTTTTTTTTTTTTCGCTAACGCCGTTTTTTTCTCTTTTTTCCCACAATGCGGAGCCTGGTTTTGGAAAAAAGAAAGAGGAACGAAAGTAAAAGACCCCGCGAAAAGGGGGGGGGGAAAAAAAGGGGGGGGG